TCCCATGTAACACTGAGTTCGGTTTATATCATGCAGTGACAGCCACCTAATCGTCTACATGTGTGATTAACGGGCGTTCGCAGATGCTCCTTTAGTAAGGTCTCCTCCACCCTGCTCTTCATACGCTGTTGCATCTCTTAGGGCGCCAGACTTACACTTTCGGCAGACTTCATTCCTGCTATAATTTAAGTATATCACACCTATTAAACAGAATGAAACTGTGTTAGTAAACTTACTGCTAAACCTTGAGACGAAACCTCAACTGTGAGAGATTGGGAGAGCTCCACTCACGAGGGACATTCCCACTCTCCATAGTTTGCATCTCTTGGCCGTTGCTCACGGCAACGCAAACAATTTTTTTGCGAGCAAGTTCACGAAAAGGCCTGCAAGCACATAGATGCCAATGCTGAGAGTAGAAGAAATCAAATTTACAGATGAACATATATGCAAATATAAGGAAACCTAAAAGCTCATGCTAAAGTCACCAATCCTAGAGATAGACTAAACTCAGAATGAAAGTCAAGCGCTAAGATTATATTTTTGGTCCTTACGACAGCCAGGTTACAATTGAAACATTAATTGCACAATGTAAGCTCCACTGCCAAAATGATCAATACGAAGCTTGCAAATATTTGTAGAAGGATGCTTGTTATTGAAAAGATCTACCAAACACTTACAGAGGGCAGTTCCAATCATCTTTCCTCACTTCGAACTCGTCCACAGCAAGCCCCTTGGACCCCCTGCTTTGCAGTTGAGGCATCGCGTATTCTAAAAAATTCTATGAAATTCGCATCGAATACCAAAGTGCACGCAGTGAACGGACGAAAAGAGTGACAAGTTGGTATGCATAACTTAATTATAACATATAAAAAAGGGGGTCTCAGGGGTTGCTTGTCCATAATTTTGTTGATTGAGAACCTCATCCACATCCAAGAAAATACACCACCTACAGAGATCAGTGTATTACCACTCTAAAAGTATAAGCATAAAATCGGAACAGTGATTTATAATATCAGTCAGCACTATTAGGAGGAGGGGTAGGGCCAGCATTATAACTAGCTTTTGAGCACAATTTAAAGAACTAACCAGATAAGTTTCACCAACATAACCAATGACCCCCTACAACCATGGCACATGAAATGCAGGGATATATTGAAAGAATAATTTTTGTTTCTCATAAAAAATAGATAGATAAATAAATATATTCAACGACAGCAAGGGGAATAAAATTATCTTTTGAACACACAAAACTACTGAGACCTAAAACCCAATGTGAGATGGAGCAGTGAGCAACATTCAATATTTTATAGTTTTCTGTCCCCCAGGATTTATTTATTTATTGTTTGTGGACAACTGTCCAATTTTGCATCTCTTTTACTTCTTTCAAACAATTTTCAGTATCCAATTTAAAAAAAAAAAATATGGAGCTAGAGTGATTGCACCTTACTAGAGAACAGATCCGTCTCTTCCTTCATTTCAACGTCACTACCCACGACACTTTTAGGAACATTTTCCGTACACTTTAGAATGTTACATTTCTAGCGAATTTCAAGAAATTGCATCGCAAACAGAAGTGAAAGAAGTCAAATGTTTTGAATGTTTGCTTTGAATTAGTTTATCCTTAAACCATAGATGCTGGAACTTTGATTCAATCTAAAAAAACACCATAAGCAAAAAGTTTCCATTTGAGTCTTTAACAAATAATGTTCATTCTATTTATTTTTTACTTTTTGTGTCCACAATAACCAATGAGTTAAAGTCCGTCAGTATCACACTGAATTAGGTTGATCAATAGTTCCTTAGTCATAAAGTATTGTATTAATGTTACTTTCAAACCTTAAAAAATTAACACAGCAATAAAGTATGATAGATACAAAAGTGTGTTAGGCTGCAGCAAAAGCCCTGCAAGCCATATGATTACTCCATTAAACAACTGGTCCATTAACAACTAGTCTCAAGATGTTCTAACCCTTCATAATTATGCATCAAGTGGTAGCCATCAAAATTCAATCTCCATGCTTGCACTTGGAAGCCTAAGACCTTGAACAAAATCCTCAAGAACATCTAAGCACAAAAATCCAAATTAACTTGATGCATCCCCTAGACATTTTGGTTCCCTACAATTGCCAAAATCAAAAGTGGCTTCCCAATCGAAAGGAAATACTTTTGTCAGATTTTCTCAAACAAACATCATACTTTAGTATCTCTTCTAGGTTTCATACAGGCTGTTAGAGGTCTAATTTTCCCTCTAGAACTGTCAATTCATATCAATTCTAGAAGATGTTTTTTTGCCATAAAATCATGGCAAGACATAGTGATTCACTGTGAAGAAGAGAGTAATAAATTTCAATGTGACTTACTTGGGACACATCCATCGCCTCTTTTCATTTCAACGTCCTGTAATAGTTCATCCTCAGCAAGTTGACTTGTTCTTTTGCTGGACAGGGTTTGAAGCAGGCCTTGGAAGCAAAGGATCGGGAGCTGTCTCACTCTTTGATCAACTCTGAAAACAGTTTCTTCACAGACCACGCTGATCTCTCTACCAGCAGTTTTCCCCCTCCTGAAATAACAAGCGGATCTATGCATAACAATAGTAATCCGTACTATGTCAACAGTACTTCAGCCCCTTCGGATCCTTTACTGTCACGTAAGCTCTATCACATGAACCTCGCAGATTGCATGCACTGCAACCTGCACAGAGGGTGACTTAGCCAGGTCAAAGTGAAAATTATTGAAACTTCATATGATAAACCTCCATTAATATTTCTCAAATACATGTTATTAACGTTTACTCACTTTTCTAGTTCATATTTTAATGCAATAAATAACATAAAATGAAAAAATAACATACATCTCCTTCTTCAAGCCGGGTATAGCTCTCAACCTTTTTGCTGAATTTACAGCATTAAGTAAAAGATTAGGGCATCCCTGCTCTACCACTTTTGAACATCTTCCACAGGCAACGATCTGCATCAACCAAAACACAATAGCACTTTTAAGTAGCCACTTTCACACTTCTAAAATAAAAACTCCCTTAATTCTAACTATATAAACCACATCTGCAGTATGCTTGAAATCCAAAGCATATCAAAACTACTTCTACTTCACATGAAATCTCCGTTTACTTCTGCTGTTCAAAATTAAAAGCTCACGGGTTACTTTATTCAGTATCTTTTTTTCCTCTAAATACCAAAGACTTCAAAACTAAGATAATATATCTAACAAAAACATTAAAACTATAGCAATGAAATGAAAACTAATGGCAGTTTTAAAACAAACCCGAGTTAAATATGCTTAGACAAATCAAAACTGCTATTACTTCGCATGCAATCTCCATTTATGAAATTAAAGCACCTTAACGAGACCAGTTAATATATGAGCAACCCAAGGAAAAGTATTGACAAAATGTCCGTGAGAATGAAACTAGATAACAAAAACAGAAAACCCTTAAACTTAAACCATCGTAGCAGTAACGCGAAGCTGAGACAAGCGGCCTTAAACCAAATTCATGTCCGTATAAACATTAACACTCTCATCAATTGAACTGTTCTCGCCCTCGAAGTAGCCCTTGGCCTTCAATCGGTCCACGAAAGTGACCCCACTCGGCCACGGTGATGAGGAGGGAACTTGGCGGAATCTTGTCACAATCCCGTGACAGCTTCCACCGCAACGGAGGTAACTGTAGCGGCAAACCGGAGCGAGGAGAAATTGACGTGCGAGGAAACGTGGAGGGATTAGAGAGAGGGTTTATGGTTACGAGTGAGAAGTGAGAAGGTTTGAAGAGGATAACCCTCGTCGCTGACATTGTTTTAGCGAGTGTAGAAGAAGACGCTGAAGCTTATGTCGGCACTTGAGAGTTGACGACAATGGAGCTGGGTTTTATCTAGGGTTTTAAGCAAAAAATTAAAAATCTGAAAGTAAATCTTGAATTTTCATTACACCCCGTTTGTTCAGAAACTCACAGTTCACCCCTTAATTTTTTTTTTTCTCGTTTCTCTCTAATGGATTACATTGTATACTTTTAAGTATGTCACCAACACTCTTCTGGTATTTAGTTGCTTTTGAACTTGTCGTGATCTTATTTTAAAGGACAAAAATTTGATTTAGAGATTAAGTATTCATTATTAATTAAATTGATAATAGAAAAAAAAAATTAAAAAATAATAAGAATAACTATTATTTAAAGTATATCAAGACCATGTTAAAATGGATTATTCTATTATTGTGCTAACTTAGATGACCATATATCTTAGGTATGTTTTGTAGCAACATACATAGTTTTAGGTAAATCGAATAGCATAACATTAAATTATATTGTATTATACAATGTCATGCTAAATGTTATGATGTTTATAGGACTTGCATTTTATTATTTTATACTAGCCTATTTGGTGTATGAATTACATTGTATAATATTTTTTCTATAATAAAATGTATTTATTAAAAACTAATATGTTTTTCAATTATTATTTAACTAAAAAAGTAAAAGTTGAAACTGGTTAGTGGTTAATGTCGGTCAACACATTGTCAAAAAGGTCAACACCATTGACCAACACACATGGACCATAGTTTGATCACAGCAAAACGGTTTGCCTTCCGGTCCGGGTTTTAAAACAATGAGTTTAACATGTCATTAGTGATGTCGTTTTTGTCCATTTTGATATTTAATTTTTAAAAAATCAATAAAATAAACCATTTTATTTCTTCAAAAGGTTTTTTTTAATAATTTTTTTAGAATTCTATATAAAAATTCATCGGTTATATTGATATAATTAAAAAAAAAAAAAGAATAGAATTGGTGTTACAATTATACTCCAGTTAATAGCATTATTCTATTCTCATGGGTGTTTCTGAAAAAATTGGGTGTAAAATGAAAAAACTAATCTCTCAAGGAGTCCGCATATGTTTCTTATTTCATAAATAGGAGTTCTTATTAACCCTTGATTTTTTATTTTACTTCACTTAACCCCCAAAAAAACCCCCAAGAAAGATTCGGAAATCTTCCCTCCCGAAAACAAACACGACCAACTCAAATGGAACCAGAACCCTGGGAAGCCCTCGACATTGATGAAGCTGAAGACTCTCTTCTCCTCCTTCCATGCAAACGTAAGAGCTCAATTTTAATCTCATCCACCAACTCCAACAAATTTGATCTTCGCCCCTGCTCTTTCAATCCTACTATTCCCGGCCCCGCTGGAGCCGTACAGTCGGCAATGCACCGTAAAAGCTCGATGAGTATCGGTGAGGAGCCAATCCCTACTCAGGAGTACATAAGAAGAGTTGTGGAGGACCCCTCTCTTCAAAACGACGACGATTTCGCTCGCGATCCTTGGCTTTTTGCTGTGGATTTTGTTCGCCGTCAAGGTATATGACTACAATTACAAACACTAGAGCTCATTGGATTTTTTTAAATACGATTTTACCCTCTGCCATTTCCCTTGAATGGTAGTGAAATTACAAGTTTATAAACTAAGGATTCTTGAAAATTATGATCTTTAAGCTGTTTGTGAATTGTTTTCTTTGTGTTATGGAAGGCTTGGTGGGTGAAGATGGCGTGGCGATCGGAACCCCGTTGAGTTGCATCAAGAATGGGATTAATATGGATAAGATTTCTCAGGTAAATTTATGCCAATTCTGTAGATTTATGTTGAAGCAAATAAAAAGCTCTTGAAGGGTGTTTTAGAGAAGCACTTGATAAAGGCTTTTCAAAAAAATGCTTTTATGTGCTTTCGGTTTCTGTTAAAGTAATAAATTTACTTAGTTATAGTGTATCGCATTAGTTTTTTCAAAGAATTTGTAATTTATGCGTTCTTTATGTGTTTACCTTTAATTAGATTGTCGCCATTGTAAAATCTAGCACCCCGAATGGCCTTGGCGGTATGATGGTGACTTTGAAGGTAAACTACTTAAAAATGAAGCTGTTTTTGCGGATATATTTCTTGTGTTTCGTTTGGTTTAGAGAAGATGCCAGATATAACTGATGGGGCTCAAATTTTGATTTCAGGATCCGACTGGTACAATTGATGCAAGCATTCATCATAGAGTCCTTACTGAGAGTGAATTTTCTAAAGACATATCGGTTGGAACAGTGTTAATACTCCAGAAAGTTAATATTGGTTTCCTTTATATATATATATATTGAGTTCTTCCAAACAGTCTCTAATGAAGGAAATATTTTTCTTAATAATTAATGTCTCAAATGGGAGTTAATGTTGTTGTTATCAGCATTGAAAGATTGACAGAAACATGATTTTTCAGGTTGCAGTTTTCTCCCCTTCTCATTCTACACATTATCTTAATATAACACTTGGCAACATAGTCAAGGTATGTATTATTTCTGTTTTCAGAATTTTCCATCATCAAGTGGTTAAAGACTTCTTTAAGTGCTTATAAATGAGCTCTATCGGCATCCAAGAATTAGTTCTCTTCTTCTTTTCCTTTGTCAGTCCATTTTGTATGGTACAGGGACAATATTGATACTTACCCTTTTTTCTGTAGCGATTAGTGAATGTAATATCTGTTTTTTGGTCTACATATATGTTTTTTTGGTGTACTTTTGGATCATAAAGAAAACATCCAATGGTTTTTCTGTCCTATGTTCTGCTATTTAATGATTGGCTTTATAGGTCATCTCTAAGGATTGTGAAATTCCGCTAGATCAAACTTATCCTTCATTAATGGTCAAACATGCTTCCACTACTGCTGGTAGGCGACAATTCTTCTTCAAATTTCTCAATTTGTTATTATACCAAATTTATTTTTATGTTATGAACTGTTTTGCTGGCAATGAGATTGATTATTAGTCTTGAATGTGACTGTCTTTGTATCAAATTGCTTAGCCGCTCTGTTACATAACTTCCTTGTGTTATAATAGAAATCAGAAATCTACAGCAAAATTTGATGTCACATCCTTCTCTTTTATTATAACAGAAAGCAGTGAGAAGTCCTGGGAGCCGCCTAAGACAGTCTGTGTGTCACAAGGAAGAACTGAAGGAATCTTGAATTGTCTCAGACAGAATACTAATATGAGAGGGGCTGAACACAATGACAAAGAATTGGAAAAAGGAAACGCATCAGTTTCAAGTAGCTTCTGTGATGCTGGAGACAGCAGAAACAATAATTCAGTTGAAGAGGAGGAAACGATTGTGGTGAGCGTAGATGTTGCTGATGGAAGGAAAGGAACTTCAGTTGACACAGGCACCGACGATCATGAGCAAGGGATTTTGTCAAGTAAGCAGCCTGGCCATTTAAATGAGGCAAGAAAAAACAACATTTTGGGCAAGCTTCAATGCACAAGTGTTACAGAAAAAGTTATCGACACCCCTAATAGTGAAGAAAACGAGAACACTAACGGCGTCAAGAAGCAGAGGCAAATGCTAATTTCCAGAGGTTCACTCCCAGAATGGACAGATGAACAACTGGATGAGCTCTTATCATTTGATTGAGATGAGGGTGGCTTTTCCATTCACCTACGGACTATTCATTTTGTTACATAGGTAATGCTGATAGATAGCATGTAAATTCTGTAGGTTCCTTTTCATTTGAGAAGATAAAGAAATGCTTTGCTACACAAAAGTTGATAAAGGATTACGAAGATCCATCTAACTGAATGCAGTGTATTCAAAATTCAAAGGAGTTCCTACCAAATCAATCGAATTAGGGAAGATGGGCAATTGTGATTCATCGTCCCCATTGATTCTCTCAACAGTCATCTTCTCCAAATATGGATGTAATATAATGGCAAATATGGAGGTTACTTTACCCATGTTATTCTATAGACAGTAACGTTAAATTACGATATCATTGTAATAGTATTACATAAAGTTTTAATTAGTCCCTAAAATTTTTATTTATTTCAAAAATACCCCAAAAAATTATCAATTAATCCCTAAACTTTTGACATATCTCCAAAACACCCCTATAAAATTACAGTTAACCTTTATAATTTTGAAATATTACAAAAAAACCCCTTAACCTTGAACCGGACCAGAGAAGCTGCCTGGTCCCAATCCGATCGATCGGCCTGGTTCGGTTTTTAAAACAGAGCTCTTTATATGAACAAAACTTTTTATTATAAAGAGTTTATCTACAGAAACAAGAGTCCAACAGACTCCTTATTCTTTAAATATAAATTAAAGAGTGAGTTTGACTCTCCACATTTAGAGAGTCAAATTTCACTCTCAATATTTAGAGAGTCAAATTTTACTCTCTATCCTAATTTTAAATAATAAATTGCAAGTTTCTATGCATTTTATGTATTATTTATCTCTCCTACTAAGTTTCTTTCCTGAAAAAACATATTCTCTTTCTTATAATTTAAAAGTCTATTGAATTTAAATAAAAATTTTGTTTTTCATATTTAAAAATCAATGAAGATTTTTTTATTGAGTAATGTTACAGCCACCGACGGTAGTGCACCGAATTTGTGCACTGAATGACATGATAAAATCCTGACCATTGATTAATATTAAGTTAAAATTAATCAACGGTCAAAATTTTACCACGTCATTCGGTGCACAAATTCGATACACTACCATCGGTGGTTGTATTATTATTATTTTTTTATTTATATGAAAGATGTCCTTTAAAATTGAAGACCAATATTAGAGATTCTCTAATGTCCTATGAGAATACATTAGTTCAATGTGATTGCGAAGTAACGTTACTTCGTGGTAATGGTTACTGGGAAGTTTGAATTAAAGGGTGACACCGTAACAGACAAGGGTGGAAAATAACCTACAACCTAACTGTTTAATTGACGTTAGTTAATTGTACATATAAACAACGTTTAATCATCATGGCACATCTTGAACACAATACCGAACGACACATCTTTTAGTCTTAACATTGTTAATTAACACAACAATGATTGCCGTTATTTACCAGGAATTGTTTTAGCCATTATTTAACTGTACTGGCTCAAGGGTCAAAGAGATTACTATCCTATGACTATATGATCACCTGCTTCAAACACTCCTCCTACCACTTAAGTTACATTGGTATTGAAATTTTAATATTATGAGATTGTGTTACCATAAATTAGTAGTAACTGAAAATAATCAATTGAAGATGGTGTTTGTGTGTATAACTGTATATAATATCACATAGTTACAACATGATCATTATTCATTATCGTAAAGTAAGGGAGACCTGTATACATATACTATCAACCATAAACTGTGAATAATCTTTAAAATTTCAAATTTTCGTAAGTACAAAGATGCTAACCAGGATAAACTATCATACTACTCTTACAATAACGCGGAGAAAACTTCTCATCGAAGATAAAAACTACAAGCAGAATGTATATATTATTATCCGAAGCAAGAAAGCACCGAAACAAAATTGGACTATACTTACAAATCGTTATAACATAAATCTCACCGAATAGATTCTTCTTCTTATAACAAAGAACGACGCAAAGAATTCTCTTCTGTGGATCCAATCGAGATGTATGGTGGCTTAATGTCGTCTTACCCGTCCTTCAAAGACAGAATGGTCGAGTTTGCAGAATGAGAATCAGTTCTGTGATATGCCCAACCCTCCCAAAATATTCCATCAATCTTCCCGTGACTCTACATGAATACCTTCCTTAATCTATCAGCAGAAACGGAGGCTCTTTTATTGGTTGGCTCCAACACCAGTGCATATTGAAAATCTGCAAGAGTGCCACGAAGGCCAATGACATCAGTTAAAGAGACTGGTACCAGATTACAGGGAGTATCCCAGAAATCCTTCTGGGCCAGAGCAGTCTTGACAAATACTTGCATTTAATAACTCTCGGCTACACACTGTTGTCCAAGAATTACCCAACTACAGGAAAAGGAAGAAGATTACCTGGCCCTCTGAGAAAGACCTAACTTTTTTGGTTGTAAAGTTTCATTCACATCCCTCAAGGTTTGGCAGTGTAGGGAAATTTTCCTGGTTTGTAAAATAGGTAGAGACTCCCCATACATGCATGGTTTCTAGTAAATCTTATGGGAAATTTATTACGATTTTCATAATTTAATGAGTGATGTTTGACAAAGTCTGAAAAAAGCAAGGTTAGACTGTATTTTAATTAAAGCTTAGAGAGAAGGTTAATGAAATTTCCCTTGATTTAATTAGTTTTTGGTAAGTAACTATTGTCTCGGAAGCCACTGTCTTGAATTCATATTTTTACGTTGCTCTTTCCTTCTAGACTACTGTTTACAAAGTACAAGTTCCATTTTATCCTACAAGATGAAGAGTAATAATCTACCTTCAATTGCCTCCTTATAATAGCCAAGCATCTCTCTCGCTGTGCCTCTTCGCAAATAAGCTTTCACATACTGACAAAAGATGGAAAAAAGAAAAACAGAAAAAATGTTATTATTCTCGTGATATATAGATCTTGATACAGCACAAAATATTTACTGCACCATCAAAATAAAACCTATATGTCTCAAATCCTGAGCAGATTGAAAATTTGCAAGTCAAGAATCATGTCAGCTATTATGCGTGCATCCCAAGCTCTAAGCACTGGCACTATTTTCCCATGAATTTAGCTCAAGAAATACATCTTAAAGGCTCTTAATTATCTTGTACCCACTAAAATAATTGCTTATGTCATAGCTATTAAAGTAATTTACAAGAGCAGATGTTCAGATATTCTGAGAGGATCTAGAGCATAAGTAACAATAAAAAACAATACCATAATGCAAACATTTTACTAATGAATCTTGATCAATCAGAAAACTCATACCATAAAAGGTGGTCAAATAAAAAGCATAAAATCCCAAATTTATAAAATAGTAAAATGTAACGAGAACTGTGAAACTGCTGCGCACATAACAGGCTGTAAAAGAAAGCTTCAGTTTTGTTGGTCTCATTATCATTCTAGTAAACAACATTAGGAAAAAACACTAACATGTCTTTAATGATAACCAACTTATCACTCTATCATAGCATCAGTAATGACACACTGTTGCGGTCACATGTTGTGGTCACATGGTCCGAGACCTGAAGACCATCACCTAGCCTCAAAGAGTAGAACTACCAAATTGCAAAACTAAAAGAATTTGCTTTATGAGATAAGTCACCTTTTTGTCAAGCTTTATAGCGTTCGTACAATCTGCTTCAGCTTGAAGGAAACTGGAGAGAAAAAATGAAATTTAACAAGACCATATTGCAATATATTAAAATAGGGGAATTAACTACCAATAATATAACAATACCTCCCCAGCTCAAGATATGCTGCAGATCTGTTACTGTAATACGTTGCATTATTTCCATTAAGTTTGATAGCTTCTGTATAAAAGCCAATAGCCTTCTGCCATTGTTTTTCTTTATATGCTTGGTTGCCCTAAGTCAAATTCAGAGAATAAATGAGAATGATTTGTGAAGTGAAATATGCTCTTGCTTAGTCAATTCACCAAACCAAAATTTAGCAATGTAACAGCATAAATTCAGCATACTGTATATGAAGAAAGAAAAAGAGAATGCACATGATCCAGACAATGATTAAAAAACATGTTCTTAGTTTGGAGATTTCAGAGGGCTTCCATTCCTAATATATCAAAGCGAAATATATTTATACACACATCACCACCCAAGACCGAACTCTAATGCTGGTAATGACGTTGACTAACAATATAGCCATAATATGATGAATTTATTCCCCCAGATAGTTCTACACATTCCACTAACATATTCAAGAAAGAGAATCACATATTTGTTAGGATTGAAAAGACCAAGTTATGTCCCTCTATTTATTGTCTTGATAGTCACACAGTAAGCAGTACATCTCATTATGGTCATATTTGTAACAATTGTATACTTTAACTCCAAAGTGCTGAAAAATTTTGCACATGCAAAAATGAAAACACAGTAAAAATAAATATGATAATATACCTTTTCTTTAGCAATCTCTGCAGATTGTTCCTTGCTGATAGCATTACTTGAAGATTTGGATGTAGCTACAACATCAACCTGCTCTTGTAGAGACTTGAACATATTCTGCAGAGTATCCAGCAAAAAGCGATCACCCCCATGCTTGGCAAGAAAGGAAACTGAAATAGGACAGTTGTCATGGTATCCAAGTGGCACAGTGACCTGAAAAATGAAGAGAAAAAAAGTTAAATAAAAATTGCATCACTTTCATCATAATATAAGTAAAACCTAAACTGACAATGCAATTTGATTTTGTTCCATCCAAGCCAATGAACAATGTAGGTCAGTCAATTGAGAGAATATTTCACCTGACAGCAACCTGATAAACTCGCAATACTCAGTAGACTGAATGCAGAGTTCTGATAATCCTCTGATAGTAACTCTTTCCCACCAAGTTTTGGAGGAGGATAAGCAGTGGTTGGGATCACAAGTATTCTATCATCCTAAACAAATACCACATACAACAAGTAGTGCAGCAGCATTAGATATAGAAATCAAAATAGCACCACCTTATCTATTAGCAGAAAGACAACAAATATTATGAAGCTAAAGCCCGAACAATAAACAATGAAACACATAAAGATCTCTTTTCTTAATGGTAGAACTTAAAATGACTAATAAAACGAAGTGTAGGTAAGTATGGTACATTCACACAGCAGGAAGACTGAAGAAGGAGAAAAGACAAAGCCAACAACTTTTTACTATACTACCAACATGCAAATTTCTGTGTCTTTGTACATGTCAAGAGGAGAGTAAGAGAGTGAGGAAAAGAGTTGCTAGCACTTTTCTATAAAGATTGCTTAAGGCAGAATCTGAAAAGAGGTTTCAAGTTATATTCTTCTGATACCCTTTTCCGATTACTTCCCACCAATGTTCATTCCTCCTTTCCCCTTTTTCAAAACCATCAACAAAAAAAGACTTAGCATTACTTCCCACCCTTAAAGACCTGATATTTTCTTTTTGTATTTACAAATGGAGAAAGATGAAAGAAGCAAACAGTTTTTAAGAGTACAAAGCCAATCAATCCCAGAAATATTAGGTAAATACAGAAAACATGATCTATTCAGCACCAAAAGCTATAATAATATAATAAACTTGTCATTGTTTTTATACATAAAAAAATAATGTATACAAAATTTAGCCAAAAGCAATACCTGCAAAAGAGAATTAATAGCAAAACGCATTTCGTTCCTAACAGATTTGCAGTTTTCTATCTCTGTGTCCGATGTTTCCAGCATGTCAGATATTTGTGCTGAGATGGCAGGATCTAGAGTAGGCTTTTCTGAGTTAATCCATTCCTCATGATTATATTTGAACTCGTGTCTGCATTTAAAAAGAGAGGCAACCCTTAGTTAACCCATTACTTAGTGAAGACAACAAAGCATCAAATCTACCCACAATATAATACTTATTGAAGCACATGCGCAATATTGTAGTATTCCTGACCTAGGTAGGAGAAAGACACATTTTGGTTAGGAGTAGGACAACAAAATTTGATCACTTGAGTGACCTTAACATTAGCAGTTTTGACTTGCAACAAATGAATTATGGGGCATAAAAAAGATTTAATCAGTCCACTCCATTAGACACAAATCCCGTCAAACTAGCTCTGGAGAAGGCCAAATATGGCAGCCAACCAACAAATGATGTGATTAAATGACTCAATCCACTTTTTCAGCTCTAAACTAAACAGCAGTTGACTTCACAGAATAAACTGCACGGACATGGATTTCAGTTATTAGAGGATGCAATGGAATAAAATCCAATAGGAGCACATATAAATTTATATTTGCACATAGATGCACTGTAAAAGAATAAGAATCCACGAGTGGAACAAAAACATATCCACTTCACTGGCTTATATCAAATTGACAACAAGTGGACCACTAAGTTCAGCAAGAATGATCCTTTCATCTCAGTATTAAAGCTTTCCTGTGTTATAACTTCAAACACATGCATCATCCACTTTTTAATAATTTGTGCCCCTCATCAATAGTAATCAGTCAACCAAACTTCAAAATCACAGTTTCCTTAATAAGGAAATTAAATGAGTACTTCCCAAGAAATTGAATAAATGACGGCAAAACTTCCCAGAATCTCCCACTGCACAACTCCATATTGCAATGGGAGTCAAAAATCCTCAGGTAACACCATATACCAGAACTAACTAATCATTTCAGCATGGAGAAGAGAAAACTAAGCCTGCTAATCAAACCAACAAGATGGTAAAAACAAATAAGAAATTACATAATCAAGTCAAGAGAGCAATTTGCAAATGTGAAGGTAAAACCACTAAATTGTATTTTTTTCAAAATCATGCCAGCACAAGCAGAATTTTGCACATAGCATCATGCACCACAGAACAAAAATGCTATAGAAGGAGAAGTCTAGCAGATTCTAACAATATTCATATCACATAACAAGAAAGCTCACCTTTGAATAAACCGCATAATGTTCGCAAGCACCCTTATTGAAGAAGTTTTAACTTCACCATTTGTTTTATGAAACAATTTCAAGCTTGGAACGTTAGAAGATAAATACTGCCCAAGATTTTCATGTTTCAACACTTGTCCTGAAGAAAATTAATAAAATATAATTCAGAGAAATGACAAAGAACAAAAAGTAAAAATTGAAAAGAGAAAAGCTAAAAGAAAGCTCCGCGAAAAGAACTTGCAGCTTCAGGCATAGAACAGAAAAAAACTTACTTCCGAAAAGCTTCTCAGTTGACTTGGTTACCACCTGAACTATCCTGTCCACAGGAATTTTTGGCAGTTCAAAACAATCATCAGCTATGATAATTTGCCTGGGACTACGTTGAATTCCATAAGGAAGCTGCAGCAGCACATGGCCAACACGGCGAAGAATATTAGGATCCCTAGCAAACCATCCTGCACATGATTTCACAAGTCAAAAGGTAATGAAGTTTTAATAAGGACACTGGCTACAATTACACCATGCACACAGCAACTGCAACTGGTACAAAAATGACACATAAAGCTTTGAAGCTTTTTCAATTCCAGAACTCATGGGTAAAGACTAAAGAATATCGGTCGGGAGGGCACAGAATCAGCAACATAGCACAATACAAGCTTAAATTTTTTACTTAAATTGTTAGCCGATACTTGAATTTTAAGGTTCTTTTTAGTCACGATAACTTATCATGAATGTGGAATATATTCATGAACTTATATCACATTAATGAAGTACAAACCACAAGATCAATGACCCAATCATGGTTAGTTGGCACCAACTGGCACTAAAGGACAAATTTCGGTTAGACTTCCCGCATCAAATATGCCAAAGTTTTGGTTTGAATCATTACTAGGGGGCAATAAACAAGGGTCTGAATTTCATAAAGAAATTATATATATAAATTTAAATCCAATTATGTAATGCTGACCACAGAAGAAATGGCCAAGATAATCAATTGCATTAAAAATATTTTCTTTATTTAATGCAATTGACTTACTTCTTTTGTTTTACATAGATGATCTTACACATTTATTTCATCCAATAGCTGGCATTACACGTCTAGATTTAAATTTATATCCAATCATTTGCGTCTATATATATATGAGAAAGTTTGATTGAAATTTTGTCTTTTAATATTAGTTGATGTTAACTAATTGTTAATCGAAGCCCACTCATAAGCTTTGTATTTTAAAAAAATACCGATATACACATATAGTCATCACCATTTTCTTAAAATAAAAAACTCATAAATTGACCTCAACTAACAATTAGTTTGCACCAACTAATACTAAAAGACAAAATTTCAATCAATCTTTATCACATCGAACACTAAAAATAATCTTTTAATGTTAACTAGCACCAATAATCGAGTATTTTTAAAAAATGTGAATATATCCACATCTGAAAATTTTCATATAAAGAATTAAAGATCTCATTTCATTTTTGGATGTCCAAAGACAACCCAAAAATACCACATAGCTTACGAAGAACTAACAGGGAACACCAAAGGACAATTAACTCAAATATCTCATTCAGCAAAAACACAAAAAATGAAGATGAGATATAAGTTTAAATATGGATTGTGTAATGCTAACAATAGATGAAATAAATGGCCAAGAGCGTCTATTGCATTAAAATTATTCCCCTAATTCAATGCAATTGGGTTGCCAAAGATGATCTTGCCATTTATTTCCTACTTCATCTAACATTGCACATCCACACACACACACACACACACACACACACACACACACACACTCTTATAAATATGGCATGTTTATAAGCCAAATTACCGTCTCATTGGCCATTAAAATAATATACATTTTAACAATTGTAAAGAAAAAAATTTAATTCTTCATCATTAACTTGATAAGTCTTCAAGTACATCTGTTAAGTCTTCTAACAACTAAGCACAACTCTTAGAAGGCTTATCAAGTTAATGATGAAGCATTAAATGTTTCTCTTTATAGGTATTAAAATGTACATTATTTTAATAACTAATGAAACAATTAATATGCTTATATATATGACCCTTTCCTTTGTATATTACGCATGTTTTCCTTAAGTAACAAAGGCTTCTTAATTGTGCCTTTTTCAATACAAGTCTGCACCTCATTGTTGTGAGCCATAAAAAGTAGTATAGTTTCATATTAGCCCCCTTAATATTCCTCTTATCTATTTTAACCACTTTATTCTACTTTAGTGTATGTGAGTGTGTGTGTGTGTGTGTGTATAGCGTTAGCTAACTTTAAGGGACAAAATTTTGAAATCTTCGATGTGAGAAAATTTGACTAAAATTTTGTCTTTTAGCGTTTATTAATGCCAAATAATTGTTAATCGATGTCAATTAATGAGGTTCGTATTTTAAGAAAATGGCAATAGCTGGCATTAATAAACACTAAAAGACAAAATTTCAGTCAAACTTTCTCACATTGAAAACTGCAAAGTCATGTCTTTCAAGGTTAACGAACGCCAGTAATCAAGAGAGTAAAACTTTAAAAAATATAGATATCCACACCTGGAAATTTTCATACATATTATAAAAGATCTTAACTTGTTTTAGCATGTCCAATGACAACCAAAACATCCACATAGCTTACAAAGTATTAATAGGTAACAACAAAGGATAATTGAACCTATTATCTCAAACAAAAACACAAAACATGAAGACGAGAAGTCATTTGGGAATAAAGTTGCAAATGGTCATATCATTTTTTTTTCTTAGGAGATCATGTAGAATTTGATCAATACATACCAATAGTGTCGAGGCTTTTTGAAACAGGCATCGTTCCCACGTGAGAAACAGCCCCATGAGAAGATCGAAACCCGATAATTCCACAAAATGAGGCAGGAACTCTCACACCACCAACAGTATCGATACCTGCCATAAGTGTACGTAAGAATCACTCTCCTAAATTTAACACACTTGTTTAATATAAATATTAAGAAATAAACAATAGAAAAAAGTCAAAACCAAAACATACTAGCACAATTCTAACATTAAATAATAGAGCATGTAGCACTAGCAATATCATATGAATACACAAAAAATTAAGACTTTCCATAATTAGCATGCTAATAGATCCAAATTTATCCTTCTCTGAGAAACACACACGAAAAAAAAAAAATTAACATCAACACAGATTATAGATATGGAAAATATATTATTGAATCTTTGACATTATTACTGTGATTAAGCACCAGAGATGCTTGCATATACCAAAAAAATTTTGAGGAAATTTATTGTGAGAAATTTTAATGACAACAAACACGTTCTTGACCACAATAATTTAATCCATCGTATTTTCAAAATCAATCATGTTCATGCTAGGGAAAGTAAGAGGTAATAAGTTATCAAAAGATACAAAAAGAAAAACTCACCCAAAGAGAAGTCAACAAGATTAGCTGCCACAGCCACAGCAGCCCCACTACATGATCCACCAGGTACTCGAGCATGTGCGGCAGGATTAGTTGGTGTCCCATAATACTTGTTCACTCCATTGATACTGAAAATAAAGCACCCAAAAACAATCCATAACCAACACTAAACCAAACGATACAAAAATTTAACACATACAATCGAGAATAAGAACAGACTATTAAAAAATCCAACATTCACCCACCAAAAGTAGGATAAGTCAGTAAGTAATGACTTATAATTGTCTCTTCTAATGGCTTAAATGTCACCATGACTAAGTGTTCTTTTTTTTCTTTTTCTTAATCATATTGACTTCTAAACCAAAAACTGGACTTTTCAATCTTCAATGATGCAAAATCTACAATTAAAAGCAAAATGTCGAGATTTCAGTACTTCAATACTATGTTTGGCCATTTCTCATGAACTTGATAATAAATTTCTCACTCAAATACAGAAGCAAAAAACAAAAATTACAAACCTATAAGCCAGTTCATCCACCACCGTTTTACCAACGCAAGTGGCACCTCCTTCCACAAGAGTCGAAACCACCGTCGCCGTTCTAGAAGCTGCACCCCTTGTAGTCGCCCACTGAGGATGGCCGAAACCGGTCACATAACCCTCGATATCAAATCTATTAAACAAACACAAATTAATAAACACAACAAAAAAACATAAATATATCATCATTTTACGAGCCAGACAGCGAGCGAGAGAGCGTACACGTCGGAGAAGGCGAAGGTGAGAGAAGTGAGAGGATGAGGAGCCTTGGGAGGAGCAGGCTGAGGCGGAGGGAGAAGCTGAAGCTTCTCAACGAAGGCTCCGAAGTCTTCTTTAATGTTCTTTTTGAGCTTTCTTGTGACGAGGAGAATTCCGGCGAGTCCGAGGCCAAGTAAAACCCAGAGATTAGTGGTGTGAGAAGCCATGGCTGAAGTGAAACGAAGATGAATCGCCGATGAAGAAGAGAGAATTTTGGATATGTCGAGTTTTTGAGTTCAGTTTGGGTTTTGGTTCAGTAACGACTAGGTTACCGAAACCTAAAAAGGGATTATTTTTTCGAAGGACGGAAGCTCCGAGTTTTATAGTACGAATAATTACATGAGGGTCCCTGTACTATTTCGTCATAATCTATCCCCTCTTTTTGTGATTTTTATTCTATACTGACCATGTAAATTTTGGTAGTTTTATTTATTAGTTAAAATGTAAAAAAAATTACATAGGTTTTATTTTTTATTTTTTTTATTTCAACGGGAGCTTTTAGTTATAGGCAATTGAATTAATTTCTTTATATTTAATAATAAAAATAAAAATTCAAGATTTATAATTTTCGGTTTAGTTTTTTCTAAGTTTTGAAATGTGAAAAGAGTATCATATGATAGGGTCCATTTATTTAATTTATCGATCTTTTGCATCTTTTTCGTGTAGAAACTTTATATTCATGATAATTATTTTTTATGAGAATTTTTTTTTTTCTATAATCAAGGAGTCCGAATCAACTTTTTCAACTAATCCCTGAAAAAGACTACTACAATAATCCAATACCATAAACGCTATTTAAATCACAGATGTTCGAATAGGGAATCAAACCTGAATGGGATTTATTTCTATAAACTCTTATTCCAAGAAAATGTTTGATTATAAGTGTTTATTTTTGTTAGATTATTTTCTCTATTAGAAGATATCATAACAAAGGATCCATGAGTATTATTTAAGTGGTAAGAGATTTGGAACATTAATAAAAGAGTACTCCGCAAAGACTTCCCTTCAAGTTTGTGGAAGTATTAATCAAACCCAATATTTTATAATTATAAGAAGACCTACCTATACTCAAAGCTAATATGTCGTTATACCGTATACGGTATACCGCCATCTTTCCAAACTTCCGGAATCTCACTACAAATTACCCTGTAACTAAATGCTTCACAGAAACTCTGCTTCCATAATACAAAGTAAAACAATATTGATCCAAAACAACAATCTTGGCTGAAATTATTATACAATCCACATTTAAGTGTATCGTTCTTCCGTTTAATCGACTAATGATGACCAAAACTTTAGTCTAGAAACGATGAAGTGCAATAGCAGTATAACGCATAAATTATAATCATTTATCGGCAAAACGAAAGGATAAAAAATTGTTACTTATGATGTCTGTTTGCGCTTCTTGCAGAGGCACAGATATAGTTAGCGACAAAAGCGATGAACTAAATGCTCCAAAAAGAATGGTAAGGAAATCCAGTCTAGGCCTTAATTCTTGAAGACTCTCCCACAACGTTCTCCATTCTAGTGTACCAATCTCCGATTCGAGTGTGCTCCACCATGTCTCTACCAGACCTTAGGTGACGAATTGGTCTTAATACTCCAAATACAGCAAGGTCAGCTAAATTAGGCTTCGAACCTCCTGTCATAAGAAGAAACTCGAAATACATTAGTAGTCGTGAAGGCTACTACAAAGAATGTGCGAGTTTATGCCATTGCAAGTCTCCTCAAGGCATTTGCTTCATTTTTTCTTTTTCTTTTTTACCTTTTCCCCTCTTTCTGTGGGTAACAGAAACAACAAAAAGAAAATGCTCTTGCCATGCATAATAAAACTTATATTTATATGTTACAAATTAATGTTCTAAACATTTACCATTTAAAGTGATAGCTTGGCTTAAATAGTGGTATTTCAGGATAAGTGAACTACAATTGTCATAGTTAGCTTAAGTTTTTAAAAAATTATGATATGTGGTGAATACATGATAATCAACCAATTAACTGAACTATGTCGCTTGAAAATTGATGACAGAAAACAATATCGAAGCACATACCAAAAAGTCCCACCATCTAGAGCATCCACCCAGCGTTTCTGCAGCTTCATACAGTGCAGCACGTTCATCAGTAATGTTATACTTCTTTTTCAATTTCTTGGACACAAATACATTGCTGCAGCTCCAGCATATTTCACAGTAATTTTTCTGTGAAGCCAAAATTACCTGCAATTACAAAATATGATTAAAAAAAAAAAAACCACACCATCAAGAAGTTCAAAACCCAGAATAAGTACACCATAATCCAAATAAAAAAATATCCCAAAAAAAAAAAACCTGAAGAAATTAGTTGACATCTAAATATAGTTGATGACCTAATCCAATAAAATAATTTGATCAAAATTTGTTGAAGAGATTTCGGATGGAAATCATTAAGAGCTTAGAGATTTCGGATGGAAATAATTAAAGAAGCTTTTTGCCCATTACTGAGGTTCAAATGAAAATTTAATAGTATAATGTCTACAAATACATTCTCAGAAATAATTTACCATTGCTTGTTATATAGTCAAAGGACTCAAGCGCCTCAGAAGTATTACGTATATATTTGGGGATAAACATGCACCATGATTATCAACCCATCTAACACCATGAGGCATAATTAATATATTACAAAGTAAATAGAAATCTCAAATATGTAATATCATAATAATGTTATAAATTGAATTACATTTCTTTACAAATCTCCAAAAGCTAAGCTCAAATAATTACAAACCAAATTTACAATATGTGAGCTTAAATGCATCAGCACAATGTATTACAACACCTAAATTGTTTTATAAGCTGAACATGTAAGTCACATTGTAACCATTTTTAGACTTAGATAGCATTTTTTTTTTTTTTCAATTTAAATATGTCATTTGGATAAATATGAGTTCACTTGAAAATATGTTTTCCAGGAGGTCCAATATTATCTGAAACCTATCACAGAACATCAAAAACAGACAAGGCATCAACCTTTACAACCAACCTTAAACCGATCCCTTTTCAAAGACTCTCGTCTAATATAATCCTACTTACTAACCACCAGTTATTCAATCAAATGTACCTCAAAATCAGCAATCCCCCTCTACAAATTCTGCCTTGTATGTATTTCAGCTCCCCCAATTCAAATATCATTCAATCTCTAACCCTTCTCATTATATCACACACCATACCCTATGCACTTAAGTTTCTTGAATGCAAGCCCAGTACAAGGACAATGTAGCAACAGATGCTGAAAAAAGTAGACATTGTTATGGATATATGCCATACCGACGCCACTTTGTCTCTTCATCATCTTCAGAAGCTGATACGGCCATTTTCTCAGGAATTATCATGTGCCCCAACTTATCAAATAGCTGCACACACCACATGCAACATTAATGAAATCAGAAGGAATGTAGCTTGGACAATGCTTCAGAGATTCATACAATTTAATTCAAAATTTCAAACCAAGAATTAACACAATCCTTTTTAATAAAAAATAGAAAACCTGATGAGTCAACCAGCTGTTCTCCATCCACCATCGTATGGGTACCTTTTTAAATCGGACCACTGGATCTCTTCTTACTAAGTGGGACTTCCACAACTTATATGGTATATCATAATAGTCCAGGAAAGCTGAGATAGCCAAAAAAAAAAATGTATGCATTGTACGACTATAGCGAATAGCAAAACAAGAATAAAAAAGTAACAGCTGGATAAGAACTTTTATCAGAGGCCTTACATCGCAAGAAATTAAACAATCAAATAGAAGTCATACCAGCTATTATAAATTTTCAATAAATCTTCATGAATTAAACAGTCAATGATGCCTGATAAGTACACAATTCACTAGTAAACCACATAATCATCTTAAACTCACAAACTAAAGTTTTCTTAATGAGGAAATGCATGAAAATAAAAGAAACTAATCATTCAAGAAAAAAATCTTCGGTACCCAGCATACCACTATTTCACTCATACCAATCCAATACCATCCCATCACCCATCCATTTATTTTCTCTTCTCTCCACCTACCCACCGCCAATTCATAATTTTAAAATTAAAAAAAAAATGTTTTGATAGTGGATTTTATTAGATGGACGCACTGACGATTTGAAACTGCGGTCATACTAAAGATATTTCAGAGTGCAGAACCAGTAACTTCCTGCCAAACTTCAACCTTATAAAACAGTAACAACAAAAACTTTGTTAATGCTCTTCTTATACTCTTCAGCAGCACAACTAAACAAACTCAAACTAACTTTTCAATTCTTTTGCAATGATAAAATTCAAAAGTTGATTGAAGTAGCAATAATCAAATAACAGAATAAAAGCAACGAATTACAAAGCAAAGAAACAAACCTTTAACTTGTTTGCAAAAGGGCAAGCCTCATACTGTAAAGAACAACATCCTTAGGAACCAATCAGCCGGCGGCGGTTCCTTAGCATAGACCTCTTGAACCGACAGCGACGCCCCTGCAGCGAGCGCTCCGGCGAAGCCGAGAGAGACGGCTCCACGAGCGGCGGCCGTACGAACCGCAATTGGCACTGATGCCGCCGCTTGAGAGAAAGCGACGGTGGCCGGTGTGGGCCTCCGAGAGAAGTGGTAGTAGAAGCGAGGGCTCTGGAAAGCAAAAACGAAGTAAGAGTGGAGGCTACGGATCGCCGCTTTTTCAAGCTAAAGAAAGAACGGGAAAGATCTTTAATATCTAGATTGTCAATTCAAAGAATTTATGTCGTTCTGAGATTTTTTTTATTACCGGGTTTAGGAGGCTTTTAGAGTGGGAACCAACTAGAATGGAGAACAATGTAACCGGACCGGCCGGTTCAGCTTGGAATCCATTTATCCAAGCGTGTGCAAGGTTCGGTATGGTACAGGACCTCCTTTTTTATTCGCCATTGAAAATATAAATTTAAAATATTATTTAAAAGGTATTAAATTATTATAATTTGTATTAACCTAAAATAAACATTTAATTAAAGTTATATTAGGTTCAGAAATTTGAACTGACTTAGGTTGTTGTCAGATAGTAAGATTATAACCATTTGAATAAATTATCCAAAGATCCTCCATTAGAGTTCGTCAAAATATTATTTATCACATTTACAACTATTTGACTCATTCATCTTGTAGGGTGTTAAATAAACCTCACAATTATTTAAAAGCAAGTAAAATTATAACTGGTCCAACATCCCAATTATCCCAAAAAATTAAAAAAAATTTTAGCCAACCTAAGCCAAATCAAAAATATAAGTAGTTC